CCGCGCGCTCATATAACCATATGCAGTTGCGTGCGCGCAAAAAAAAAGAAAATGGAAAGTTACAAATACGAAACTAAAATTAAGCAGTCTTTAAGCGACATAAGTGGCATCTAAGCCTGTAGCCTTCACGAAAGGTCATCTTTGCCATTTATATTGTTCAGTATTCTGTGGAGGGTACTGGCTTGCTTCTGTTTATCGACAGTCATAATTGAGACGGGCTCTGTTTGACACGAAGCCAGCTGGACAGTGTGGCTGTGTGTGAACGCCCGAGTTTCGGGTTACAAGATGACGAACAACTGCCAATTCACCCCCCCTCCATTCTCTCTCTCTCTCTCTCTCTCTCTCTCTCTCTCTCTCTCTCTCTCTCTCTCTGTCTTTTTTCTCTCTGTCTTTATTCTTACAACTTTTTGTATCCTTTCTCTTTCTCTCTTACTTCTTTTATCACTGATTTTCCAACAATTTCTCCTTTTTCTCCTCCCCTTTCTCTCTATATTAATTCAATCTCAACAGGCAGATCAAGACATTTGTAAATCAATATAACCAATGAAATGCCAAGGTCTTCAGACAGAACGTTGTTTCTTGTAAAGTTACCCAAAAGCTTCAACTGCACGAATAATCAAAAGCGTGAAAGGAACGAGAATGAATTGGAGATTGCTCTCACAAAAAAGGCGGGGACAGGACAGAAGCTAATAAAGTGATAGGAACAAAAGATATGACAAAAGATTCGTCTTTCCATCTTTGATGGAGCTAGTGCCAGTCACGAACAGATCAAAATCACAGATCCACGAGGAAGACAGAGAGGGAAGGAACGTGCTGGGTTCAATACAAATTTTGGAGCATCAAACAAAACGTCCGCAAAAAGCGCCGGTGGTAAAAAACGAAGAAGGAAAATCAACTATTGAAAAGCTACGTATTTTGTTCACTAAAATAGCAGCAATGATAGTTCTAAAAGACGTTTTATTTGAGAGCCAAGATGTATTCATCTGACCGGTTAGGAACAGCGGACAAAGCTTTGAAAAGGAGTGACGTAGGTACTAGGTATACAATCTTCAGTTCATATAATGGTACCTCGTAGATACAGCGTGCAATTTAAACCTAAATGAAAACAGACATTGTTTAATCCTTTAGCAATAGAAGTTCTTATAAGTGACATATGAAATAATTTAACTTTGTTAGTTTAGAAAAAAACGATAGAAAAAATATGAACGTCTATAGTAATTATCGTCAAGCTTTGCGACTGTTTAGGTGATTTGAATTTTAATGTAAGAGTGCATGGCAAGAGCCACATTTTCACAAGAACAGAATAAAAATAAGAATAGTCAACGGTAACACAGGAAACTAGAATATTGAGCATGCTATACCAACACTTCTCGACAGTGTATTTGAAAAGGCATTTGATTGCTCCAGATTTGTCATTCCTTTTGGAAGGGTGATGCAATAGTTACTCTCTTAGCCTTGTTCTGGAACGTTGCGAATTCAACTCGCAAGTATGAAACATATTTAATCTAGTATCTCTGAATTTCTATCGGGATTTAGCCTTCACTGCCCATGGGTTCTTACAGATGGTCGACGGACCCCGTGTCCTAATAGACTAAGACCATCGATTGGCTAGTAGAGCATTTACACTCATTTCACAGAGTGGAGAACCGTTAACTCACTTCTAGCAATTCTCACAGCAGCAACAGCCATCGACAGTCTCAGTAATGCAGCTCCCCTTAGGGGAAGGACTAACATGCTTTCTGCAGGACGCACTTCAAATGTTACCCATCTAATAGCTGTCAGTGCTCGCCTGTGCTCCACATTCGTGTGAACTGCCTCCAACGACCACTCCAACACTAGTCCTCAAGTTACATCTTTAGGGCAGTTGAGTTCATCCCAGAGGACATTCTCGACAATCCAATTCGGAGGTCAATGAGATTAGCCTATGGCGAGAAATCGGTTGACAAAGGCAGGAAATCCATAAATGCGAAGCAACACCGAGATGCCAAGGTCTAGTTTTGATGTTGATGTCGTTTCGGAATAATTTCGGACTACTAAACTAAAAAAATTCAGTTTGCGTTGTCTCTATATTATTTTGTCTCGGGATATTTTCCAGGCTTTTTTCAAGGACATGACTCTACTGCCTTAGGAAAGTAATTCACGGGAAAAAAATCCTCTCTCGTGTATCGTTGTAACATGAGTTAATTGAGATTATATTGGCCATTTGAATAGTACTCCCGCCTCCATACAAAAGGAAAAACAAACTACCGAATAAACAAGACACAGTATGAAAGAAAATACATTGCAATAAGAAAAAAAAAAAAGCAAAGCCTATCAGAGCACAAAACTGTAAAAATTATTTAAAAAAATAAAAATACCCCCCCCCCTTTAACCCCCCCCCCCCCAGTCAAACAAACAAACAAAAAACCCGACCCAAATCAATGGCACCTGGAAAAGAGTCAATGAAAATGGTGTGCAAAAGAGTGGGAAGACATTGAATAATATCATGAGGATAGCCCAAGACAGGGAAAGGTGGAAAGTGTTTGTTCTATACCCTGGTCCATGGTGAGAAGGCGGTGATGGTGGTGTAAAAGCAAAGGAAGTAGCCAGAAAAAGATGAACTCATAATAATTATTCTTTTCAAAGTAGCAAAAAGGGTCTATAACAAATTGTCAAGCCAACATAAAGTTTAGAAAAGAAAACGCCAAGAGGAGACCTCACAGATTCGAAACGTTTCCAAACTTCCTAACCATACAGTTTCTCCCTTGAAGTGAATTCCGCCAGCACAAATTACGTGTTTGTAACAAAAGTGTCCTTCATTTGACAATCCTATATTGGCAGGGTATATTATTATAATCGTATCACAGTCGTATGTGGTGTAGTGGTTAGGCGCTTCGGTGTCGCACGCAGGAGATTTTAAATCTAATATATTGGTCAGGGGGCTCTCGTGGCCTTGGGGTTAAGGTGTTGGCCTCTCATTTAAAGGTCCCGGGTTCGAATCCGGGTAGCAACCAAAAACTTTTCTTCTCTAAAATTGTCTCCTTTCACCCCCTTTCCTGCTCTCTATCAATGTTCTGTTCTCTGCTTTCATTTCCACTTAATGCGCCCACCCCCTCACCTCCTTTGCCCCCTCCTCTGGGCTCCTGATTCTTTCTGCAGCCTTTCTACTACTACTCCTTGGCTCCTCCATACTGCTGTCTTTCTGCCACACCCCTGACCTTCTGGTAGGAAAGATCTACACCTAGCCTTCTCGGACAAGGGCGAAAAATCTCGGAGGGCCCGTGTGCAAGTTGCGCACGTTAAAGATCCCTTGGTGGTCTAAAATCGATAAGAGTAGGCTTCGGCCGCCACCCGGCCAAAATTCAAAATTTCCTACCAACTGAAAAATATTAGGTGTGTTCCGCGCGCTCATATGACCTATGCAGTTGTGAGCGCCGTAAAACACTTTACAAAAAAAAAAAAAATATATTGGTCTTTCTTCTGGAATGTTGTTTCCAGGTTGGCCTTGACAGGCATGGTTGAAGTCCGCCTCCTTAATGATCTAATTTGAGCCGATGGGGGCGTAAAAACAAATAAGTTCATAATAATTTTCATGCCTTAAAATAACCTGACGACTATTAAGCAAATGTTCCCCTTTATGGTTCAAATGAATTTAAATTAAACAATTACAGATAAGATACCTTAAAAAATGGGGAGTTGGTATTGGTTTAACGCCCCTATCAACACTGTTAGGTTATTTAAGTGGCGGGACCTCCGAGTTCAACTTCCATCTCCGAAAGGACCGAGCCAAGAGGGAAAATGTGTAAAGTGCCTTTCCCAAGGACACAACGTCGGACCAAGCTGAGGCTCGAACCCCCGAACCCGCAATCTCACCATTACAAGTGCGGTAACCTAACCACTAGGCTATCGACGCCACTTCAGATACTTAGGAATTTGAATTATTCAGTACGTAGGCAAACAGAAAGAGCTATCTCGAAAAGAAACCACACTCAAGATCAAAGCTTGTTTTGGTCTTCCACTCCCAAATAAAGACCCATACCAGGAGTTCACCGCACATCAAGGATTTCTACGTTATATACACTTACACACAACATGCATTCGGACGGTCTGTTATTAACTTGGGCTACCGTTTTATGGCTTCATATCACATTACTCAGTGCAATGATGTTAATGGAGTTTCTACAAGTTACAAAGATTGATCAGCTATGATGAACGCTGTTTTTACAACATGTGCACACACACAACTAACACACACGCACACTTACTCACACTACACTCACTCACACACGCAGGCACTCACGTGCAAGCACACCACAGGCACACAAACACACCCCCACCTCCCCCATACCCCCTACACATACACACATATGCGTAAAGAAATAAATATTTATAATATATTATGTATATATTAAATACTTGTTATATAATATAATGTATGATACACACACAGGGGGCTCTCGTGGCCTAGAGGTTAAGGGCTCTCATTCAAAGGTGATGGCTCGAATCCGTGCAGCAACCGAAACATTTTCTTCTCTAAATACTTTGTCTCCTTTCCTGCTCTCTCGCAATGTTTTGTCGTCTGCTTTCGTCTCCCCTTTCTGCCCCCACCCCCTCACCTCCTTTGCCTCCTCCTCTTGGCTCTTTCTGCAACCTTTCTACTGCTACTCCTTGACTCCTTCTTACTGCTGTCTTTCAGCCACACCCCTGATCTTCTGGTAGGAAAGATCTACACCTAGCCTTCTCGCACAAGGACGAAAAATCTCGGAAGTCCCGTGTACAAGTTGCGCACGTTAATAATCCCACGCTCACATATAACCTTATGCAGTTGCGAGCGCGGTAAAACACTTATAACTTATATAATATGTATATATACATAAATATATATAAAACTATATTTACATAATATTTATATATACGTGTGTGTATTATATGGGGTTTGTATGCGTTCTTGCACTGGAAATACCCTCCCCCCTTTTTTCCCCCCTCCAAATTCCCAAACAACGAGACCACAGCCAGCTTACTGATTAAGGGCACAAACTCGGACGTCTCCGGCAAGTTCTCCGCCACGGCCAGCATGAAGACAGAGAAGGCCAGCAGTACCGTGATGCCCAGGGCGATCTTCTCCCCGGAGTCCGGCGGGAGGCAGAACACCAGGAGAGTCAGCGCCGACATCATGACACAGGGAAACACCACGTTGTACATGTAGTACAGCGTCCGACGCCGGATCTGGTGAAGGGAACAGAGATTTGGTTTGTGTAAGTTCTTAGAAGACAAAATACTGCACTGCCATTATTTTTGGCTGTTCCTTATTATTTCGCAAACCAGTAACTTGGCGAGACCTTTTGGGTATAATATATTTGGAATTTTGAAATTGTTGTTGTCCTCAACCCTAAAAATGTAACTGTGAAAGTTTAGCGTCCCTATCGACACAACTTAAATCATACAGGAGGAGGACTCTAACCTACCTAACCAAGGCCAATCAGGGATAAAGGGGGGGGGGGGGAAGCAACGTTCCAGAAGAAGACGGAGACACCACTCGAAAATGATTCTTCCAACATGGGAATCGAACTCATGCCTTCTGCATGCCAAGGCAAACTGTGTTTTGTTTTGCGTTGTTTTTTGGTAGTTCAATTCATGAGCGTGATGGGCAGCACCTTGCCGACTGTGCTTTTGACACGTCAGAGTTTACAGTTTCTTTTGGAATGATCTCCTCTCTAAGCCAAAAGCAGTTGTATCCATAAAAGAAGCAAGAGCGAAGGCACCAAAGATAAGATATGGCTGCTTTGATTTGATCTCTACTAATACTTAAGGCAGCCCCACAAAACAAGACTCGAGGCTATGTAGTTGCCTTTTCTAAGTGTCCGGTGCGTGAGACAGTGAAGCGCCTAACCATCACACCACAGACTTCGCTACTCAGCACGTCCACAACTATATTATTTTCTGACACAACGATTGCCAACCTGAGCGACATCGCCTACAAAATGTCAATTACTAGTAAATTTTGACGGGAGGTGGTCGGGGATAACCTGGGTAGTGACAGATGCTACTTGATGCCCCGCTTGGAAATGCGTGTAGGTGGTAAGAAAGAAAATGTTGGCCTTTTAAAGGGGGGAGAAGTGGACGTTGACAAGCAGTGTTTTAACAGGAACAGAGAGGGACACATAGCATCAGACGGAGAAGTAGACGGAGAAGATCACGCGAGAGCATGTGTCATTTGCCGACAATGGATGACATTTTTATCGGCTTGAAGCAGACTTCTCTCAGAGCTGAGAATTTTGTTGACAGTGAGGACAGGAAAGCGGATCACGAAATGGAAAGTCTGCACCCTGGAAGTTTTTTTTTCATGAATGAATCTGAAGGTGGAGCTCTATTTTCTCCTCGATATATTAGATTCATACATTGTTATCGGTTTATCATTCCATATTTTCCTTCTCCTGCTTTTCGAAGGTGAAAAATGCAGTGCCGTCTTGAAGTGTCACTGTCGTCTCGTCCCATAGAAGCTTCTGCTGTCCTGAAGATAAGAACATTACTGAAAATCATCCTTTTTTGGCGTTAATCTTCTTTCAGAACCCATTGCGTGTTTCAACGCGGGTGCATTTGGCCCTGTTTTTTGAGACACATAAAACAAAAAAGGTAGATCTAAAAAGGAAGACAGAAGGGAACACTAACAAATATCACAAATTCATGTCGACGGGCAGGTGTGTAGTGTCCTCCTGTGTGCTATGTCTGCATTGAGTGAGTCACATCTACTGCTGATATGTAAGGGTTTTGTTGTTGTTGCCAACGCAATTACTTTCAGCAGACCTTGTTACGTTTGAACCAGTATTTTCATGATAGGTGACTACCTCAATCGAGCATCTTCTCTCTCTCTCT